CGAGAGTGTGGCTTATGAAGAAGCGCATAATCATTTTGCGTCCTGTGTTTGTACAGGACTCATCGAGGGTGCTTGAGTTCTTAGGTGCTGGAGACTCATTAAGATTGAATCCGAGGACTGTTCCTACTCGTAGAACAATACAGTTGAGGTAATCGATTGAAGAATGAAGAGTTTAGTCAAGTCGTTAACAGGTGCTTGCCTATGGTCAGATCTGGTTTCAGTATGTAGGCTATGAGATTCATGAGAATGAAACTCGTGGTAGGCAAATATTGGGGTTTGGTCCATAGTGGTTGATATTAGATACCAAATTCTCATATATTATTATAGAAGCCAGTGGTAACACAGAAGTACGTTAAAATAGAAATAGGCAAATACTTGAAAGCTAATTTATCTTGTTTACTTGAGACGTTCAAGCAGTGCAACAGCAAGTTTCTTCTCATTTAGCTTAGTGGTGGTGTCCAATCCCGCCACCACCAAAACCACCTCCTTTACCTATTCCACAGCTAAAGCCAACGCCTTTTCCGAAGCCATGGCCTTTTCCGATGCCACCACCTTTGCCTATTCCACCGCCAATGCCTCCCCATTTTCCGATGCCACCTCCAAAGCCACCGCCTTTGCCTATTCGGCCGCCAATGCCTCCACCTTTTCTGATGCCACCGCCAAAACCACCATCTTTGCCTATGCCTCCAGCGATTCCACCACCTTTGCCAATTCCTCCGCCTTTGCCAATTCCTCCGCCAATACCAACACCAAAACCGCCTCCGATGAACGTCTTCTCTTCATCTTTGCCAAAGCTCACACTCTCTCTCGCAGCCACATGCTTCACCACAATGACATGGAACCATAACAAAGCTAAGAGACTAGCTCCATTAACGAGACGCCCCATCTCTTGTGATTTTTCTTTTGAGTTATGTTTGTTTTTGAAGTCACCAGTCACCACTGCCCGATGAGCATAGTAGACATATTACAACCCTTTATACAACAATCAACCAAATTCAACTATTTTATTTTCAATTATTTTAAATAAATGTATACATTAAGTTGCTTCAACTACTAACTGGCTGATTGTTTCACTTCAATTCGTAAAAGATTTTACGTATTCATATTCCCATCACCTCGTTGCTGTAATAATGTATCCATCGACGCAAATTTCTAGTCTATAAGACAACAACTCCATTACGCACTTTAAGTGTCCATATTGGTACAAGAGAATAAATTTCTCGAAACCATTTTGTAATGTTTTCATTTGTGAAAGAATCAGGATACTAAACTATGTTTTTATATATCAATGGACAATGGTTATAAATGGTATTTAGTTTGGTGGTTAAATCCATGTAGATGTTAAAGCACAATCGAGGTCCGGATGGTGACATTAAATTGTGCGGTGCGGATAAAAAAATTGTGTGGTGCGGTATGGTACAACTGCGGTTTGTGCGGGAAAATACATTATGCGGAATAAGTGCGGTTTATATAAAAAAAAGCAAAAGTTGATTGTGAACATAACCAATGCAATGCGGATTTAATATTTGAATAATTTTTTCTAATATTTTGAATGACCAAATTTTTTTTTTTTAACTGAATAATCTGTTTCAATAAATTTGCATTCCTAATTATTTTCAAATTTAAAAAAAAATACAAACGCACTTAAACAAACACGAAAGCACATGCGTATTACTATTGCGGGGGGGGGGGGGGGGAAAGGGTAGAATTATTATCCAGGATTCTAGATTCGATTCGTTATCCGTTCGGAATCGCTCCGAAAATTAGGATATCTGGGAAGCCCAGATCCGGATAAGGATAGTAAAATCTAGTATCCGTGAAAAGAGGATCCGGATCCGGATAGCAAAATTTTAATGTCTGGATATCCAGATCCGAACACATTAAATATCTTAAAAACATTTATATATTAAGCTATTTTATATGAATAAATATATATATAAATTGATTTTAGTTTTTAATAATATATATTATATTTATTATGAACAATATATTTAAAATATTAACGAATAATTTTAAAAATATATTTTTATTTATTTATTAATTATTTTAATTATTTTTAATATTAATTTCTGATCCGGATCCAGTTCCGGATATCCGCGGATATTCTGATTTTTGGTCGATATCTAGAGTCCAGATATCCGGAGGTTAT